CTATTTTTTGTTTTGCATTTTCTTTTTTCTAAAAAGAGCTCTCATGATAAGAAGAAGCATCAATGGGGACATTTCATTGTGCTCATAGAGTAAGTCAGGATGGTCACAGAAGATTCCACCGCACGTCAGATCGGAGAAGGGGTAAGAAACTCCTTTTGGTTCACACACTATGACACCGAAACCCACAAAGTGTTTTGTTTCTCCTGAACTTCTCGCTCTGTGGCCGCTGGCGCACACGTCAAGGGGCGTTGTCTTTGTCGGCTCTCTCATTCCTCGCGACTTGTTTCTCACTGCTCGAGCTCAGCTTGCACGTGGTCTTTATGCTAATTTATAAATAATTCCTTATTTTATAAAGCAGATACTCTGACAATGTTTCCTCCCGAATACTCGGGAGACTCTGGCCTATCATCTCCTTCGGGTGTGGTGACTGGAGGTGTCGGGATGCTAATTATTGCTGTAGTGACGTAAGGCTGCTCACAGTTTAGTTTAACGCACTCTTCCACTTTGGCATTTAAGCTGGAACGGCTGGGGGAGGAAACAAAAATCCATGAAGAAAGAAAATCCACGTTACTGCAAACCTCTCCTATGCCCGATTCCGCTCCCTCAGCCGGCTGTTGCCATCCTGCCCCGTTAGAGAGCTCAGAGGAGCCAAGCGGCACCATCCCACCACCCTGCACCCCGGCAGCAGGTGGCCCATGGCTGTGTCCATGGACAAACCCCCTTTCTCCCTTCCTTCCCACTGTTTCAGCCCTTCTAAAAGTTTCTCAGCCCATCACCGAAGTGTTTCTGAACAGGGGAAGCATTTGAGCAAACTCAGCATAGCCAAGTGACTTGCTAGGCAGGAAAGCGTCAACTAGGGGGCAGGCCCAGTCTCCTACAGATTCCTCCATGCCACGCTTATTTAAGAACATTTTGTATATTCTGTATCCTCAATAGTAAGGCACAGTGATATATGCACTAATTAAGGTTAACATGTCTGTGGAGCTGCTGCAGTACCTCAGCATCATAAGAAACTTGTAAAACTCGGACTGTTTTGAGGTGAGATGGGCATTTTGTGCTTGTGTTTTTAGCACAAAGCTGGTGCTCTGTGTTTTTACATACTCTGTGACTGGAAGAATGGTAAGTCCTCTAGCAGAGAAAGGATGGATCCAGGCAGAATATTTCCTGAAAAGCTAAGACAGATTGGAGCTTTGTGCTGGCCAGGAGGTCTCATTGCACAATAGCTGAAAAATTTCAGTAGGTACAAGCTGCTGGATTGTTCACGGCAGTGAAATCCAAACCTAGTAACTATACAAAGCAAGCTACTCAAAATGTAACTTAACAAGAGAATATCTATAGCAACTAGTGCTGAAAACGCTTCTTTTTTAAATGGTGGCATGTTTGAGTTCAATAGAAAACACTTCTGAGTCTCCTGAGACCCTTGCTGTGTTTTCAGAGGTGGTGTTCGGATATGCCCGAAAGCCAAATGGTTTATTTGTGAGAGTACAGAGGTGTTCAGTAAATTATAGACTCTTAAACTGTACTTTTGCCCTCACTTTTGTAATAACTCCTCAAACTAAGAAATACATGTTTCTTATCCATTTAATATTTTTTTATTTAGAAGAGTCTGTCTTATGACTCTGGGAAGCAGCTTTATTTCTCTGCTCTGTGGAAATGTGAGGAAATCTCATTTCTCCTATGCTTCTGAACCAAATCACTAGAAACAGCAGGGACAGACCTTTCTCTCTCTTCCCACTTGCTCATCTCGATATCTGAATTGCACGCTAATTTTTTCTTGTTATGTCTTTGTCCACGGCATATAATGTTTGGTGCTGTATTTAATTTGGGGTCCCTGGATGCTACTTGCTGCAACTAGTACGCAGTGGTTTGCGGGGAGGGCAGAAATGGATAGAGAGAGAGACTATCTGTTATTTTGGATCAATCGTGGAGCAAACTAAGTGCAGGATGTTTCATTTTTGGATGACTATTTGACTTTCGTCTTTAGCCCCCCCGGCCTGCCTTGCAGAGGCCACACCACTTCTACGTCTCCAACAAAGAAAGGGGCTTCAGCTCTCGGTGCACTGAGGCGTGTGAAGTACCTGTTAGACAGAGGCGTCCTCTCCACACATCTGATCTGGATGGTGCTGAGCTCTTGTACGCTGCCTGGGCGGCTGCCAGTGATGGTGGTGTTCGGGATGCGGTAAGTCTTTTTATGTCTTCGTGAGCAGCAAGTGCTGGTAACACCTTGTTGGGACGAGAGAGAGGGGCTGTGGCTGGGGGGTCTATTGACTGTGGAAACCTCCATACAGCTCTCTTCATAGACTTGCTCGTCCACAAACTCGTGATTCTAGCCCAGAGGAATCCAACAAGGGGACAAAGCACACACAGAAAGATAATTGAAGTGAACATATTAATCATGATTGTTTAAAGGCTTAAATTGCACAACTGAATAAACTGGGAAAGTTATACAGTTTATTCTTGATTACAGTGTTTAGCCCATATTAGCCTGGGCTGAATACCAATACAAATGTAAACGCTGGAACAAAACGCTCAGAGCTCTAAATAAGAAAATGTTAATCCAAATTATTTTGTAAAATAGCACATGATTGTAATGTAGTTTGCATTATAAATATCTGTATAATCTATGAAGTGCCACAAAATAGAGGATTATGTTTATTAATAAAAGTGCGAGTGGTGCTTATGTAAATGCTCTAAATGTCATTTGGAAATAAATAAGATTTATTATATAGAACTATAATAAAATAATATTAATAAATATTTTCCAGATGAGTTTATAAAGCTTCATTTTGAATTACGTGTTAGAATCAAGATCTGAAACAGTGTGTTTTGACGTATGTGTCTATGTAGAAAAAAAAGATTTGATTAAATAGAAGTTTTGATTAGAGGAGACAAGACAGCTATTTAAAAGCATCCAAAAAGTTCCTAATTACTGTAGGTGGATGTATCGAAAACAGTTTAGAAGACTGAGCATTTAGTTAAATGAAGTAGTCTTTATTCATGCAATCTTTGCTTAATCCCAGCATAGACAGTAGTCTTATAGGTTTGTCATAGAGCTGAATCCAAATTCAAGCAAATGGCTGGTTTATATTGACTCACTAGGCAATTAGGGAATGTTTCACACATAGCCGTGATTTCCACCTTTTCTTTGTGTGCAAAAGAGTGTGAAAGAGTGGTGTTGCTTATAGTGGAGAAAAAGGAAAAAAAAAAAAGGAATTTTTACAGTAATTTTAAAGTAGCAGCCCAACTAAACAGAGATTAAGATATGTTCACGTGCAGTTTGAGAAAACCTCCTTTTTAAAAAAAAAAAAAATCTTTCCAGTTATTGCTGGAATTACTCTGCATATCCTGAGAATGGTTTAGGAAGCATCTTCTGGGTTGTTTTATGGTCTGCTCAGTCTTGTTCATTTAAAGTTTTTTAGCCTGCTATGTTTTTGTGTATCAGAATGAGAAAAAATATTTTCCCCCTGAAGAGTGATGCACTAATTGGAAAGGTGCTGATGTTTTCCGGGAGCATTACAGTACAGTGCTAATATAAAGTATGTGAGCAAAGTAAATAGAGTATCTGCTGTAGCCAAGTGTTTGTGACAAATAGAAATACCTTCATAGGTGAATTATTGTTATTTCCTTTTTTTCTTCACTCAGATATAAGTTGGTGTGGAATTGGGTGGTGTTGAAGAATGATGATTTTAAGTGATATGCAAAGAAAGAATTTGCTTGAAAATTGACTTCCATAAGGCATACGTCAGTCACAATCAAGACTTTGAATGTGATCACACAGTGGACATAAAATTCAGAGAGAAAAATGACCTAATTGCCATCTTTAGATTACGTTCAGTGGCTTGCAGAATGTTTGCCAAGAACTCTGCTAGTTTTCCGATTAAAAGTAATTTTGTGCATCCTAAAACTTTTATGGTGCAACCAAGAATTCAATTTGTAGGGTCCATTAAAGGGGGTTACTGAGTGAACTTTTAGTATAGACTGGAAACATTTTGAAACGATGTAATGGCTCAAGTTAATAGATTTGATTATGCTTATTAATTAACTGTTCTTAAATCACCTAAAAATAGCCTGTAAAATATAACTTTCAGTGCAATTATTTTCATTATTAAGGTAATTTTCACAGAATTCCATAACGTTGCCCACACTCCATTTTTTTAGAGTGGAAGAGATGTTATCTTATTAACTTTAAAGTGCCAGAAAAGAGAAAAATATGCCCTTGCTTAGCATCCTCTGGACTGATGCTTATACCAAATGTTATTTCAAAGGATGATGAGAGCCTAAGAGGCTAAGAAGGCACCTCACTGTTGCTATTATACAACAAATCAGCAACTTGCCAAATTCCACAAGCCGAGGGCCCAAATTTCAAGTCCCCACTAAAATTTTAGGAATGCATGGTCTGACCAGACAGTTGCAGAGTACAACTTGGAACTTCTGCATACATTTTTGTTTTCACTTGTCATATAAACATCAGTGCCAGTGGCAGGACCCAACAAACAAGGAAAAAAGAAAGTAGATTCTATGCAAATTTAGGAAAAAAGATAATACTTGCTTTATAGACTTTTTTTTTTTTAATTAAAAAAAAAGCTCTGTTTAAAAAAAAAGAAAAAAGAAAAGGTTTACATATTTCACCATTATGATTAGGGGAAATATGAAACTTTGGGAGCTGATTCCAAATGAATAGAAATTTTTTCCCATGATTTCTGTGAGAGTTTGACAAGACCTGTGGCTACTACTAGGGTTTTTAAATATGTTTGTAATGTTCAACTGTGGAACAATTTTTAAGGCGGATTGCTATTATCAGGTTCTAGTACAAAATGTCTCAAAAATATTCCAAAAGGACCCAGGCCTGAATCTTGGCAAAGAAGCCACATTATAATGTATATAGGAAGCAAACCATTTTGTCCTGCAGCACATCACATTAACATGAATACTCCAAAAGTAAGAATGGAGAAGACATAAGCACCTGTGGGATGACATATTACTAAGTGATGTAACAACCAGGCCATTTTATTTACAAAGAAATGCTGTCGAAAGGAGAACATTAAATTTTACATATACATACATCATATTTTAATTTAGCAATGTCTGTAGGGGGAAAAATTTTTAATCTCTTTTTTTTGAGAAAGAGCAGAAAGACTTTCACATTGATCTCCATCATATATATAGCAGAAGCATTACTGAGTCTTCAAATGAAAATCTACAACTAGACCATAAAGATAAGACAAAATAGCATAAAGTTCCACTGTGTATAAAAAAAACTTAAAGGCAAATCATACAATTTTTAATACGGAACTGGAACTTATAAAACTAGATGTAAATTTGTAAATGGTGATTTAATGGATGTTGACCAACTTGCCTACAATATTAGCTAAATTCTACATGGCAATATAACCCCTGCAAAAATACAAAAATACAAGGAGATAATTTTAATGTGCCTTATGTGAAATTCCCAAATCTACAAAGATTAAATTCAATATAACTAATATTTATGTTCTTAGCTTCCTTGGAATGAAAAAAGAGGAAACAATGTAAAATTAGGGATGTTTTGGGTTATTACTGTGACATTATCTGTCCAGAAATACACTGTTAATAAACAGGGCACTTAGTTATTACTGAATCATATCTGCTGTGGTTTACTATCCTTTATGGCTGTATAATTATTCAGGTATTGACCAGGAAAAACTATAGAGAGCATATAATAAATAGTCCTTTTGATTTATAGGGAGTTTCAAATCTAGATGAGCATATTTGGGCTGTTATGAATTACATCAGTGATTTCTATAGGGATCTCAGTGTCTAAACTGAAGCCAAAAGACTTTGAAGCTTTGCATTTGCATCTGGATTAAACACTTGAAGTTTCAAAATAGGATGCTTGGGGATCCTCTTTTACAGTCATTTCAGTGAGAGTCGTGTTCACGTCAGAGGAGACACTCGGCAGCTCTCCCTGTACAAAAGCCCAACATTTACTCGGGCAAAAACCTGCTTTGACTGCACTGAGTATTGAATGTGTAAGGATTACAAATTGTGTTTTATGAGCTGTACTGCAGAAAAGTGCAAATGAAAACATTGTGGAGTGTATGAAAACCATACCGAAGGTCACATATACAGCATGGCTATGCTGGTGTCATCTCACTGACGCCAGTGTCTTTGACCCTAGATGAGGCTCTCGTCCAGGATCTCTGTTATTTATATGCAGTGAGTATAATGCCTTAAAATAAGATAAAATGGCTTTTTTTTTTCCCAGCTAACTGCTTTCTTATAGAGGCTTATTAATTAGAAGAAATACCAAAAACATTCAAAATGAGGCTGGTGTTGGAATTCACAAGAAAACACAATTCTCTTTTCTTACCGTAGTTTTTTCCAGGCAGTGAAGCAGGTGGTGGTGCTGCGTTTCAAAGGAAGAGCCAGATTTGCTAACAAAGGCCTGTTCTTCTTCACTGGAGGACTGTTAATACATAGAACTCTGTATTATTCTCATTTGTGAACAAGAGGGCTCTTATCCAAGTATTTGATCAGAACTAATCTGGATTGTACATGGTAGCATAACTGCAATGCTTCATCTACATGATATAAGCCAAATTATTTTGGACCTGAATTATCTTTTGCATGTTTGTTTTTTAATCAAAATATTTTCTTTCCTTCCCTTGCACCTGTTGTTATATGTTTCCATCTTAGATCTTCTATGCATAGATGGAATAGTACAATTTACAAGTGCAATCAACATGTAAGCCTTGAATGTTGAATCAACGCATGCTTAAAATTATCATAAATTTAAGTGTCAGTAAAATATTTTTTTTTCCTGGGAAAGTGCCTCATTTGAAGCAAATTAAACATAGTTGTCCTCCTGGGATCATTTCATAGCACTAAAGAATTTGTGGTATTGCTGCTTACACAAAAATTCATGTCAGTGATCCCAATCTGCTGAGTTTGGAAAGCGTATAGCAGATGTTACTAACACAGAATGAAGAATTAAGTAGAAAGCATCCACTGTTTATTAATTGCTTTCATAATTATTCAGTAGAAAGCAGAAAACTAAATAGGGGAGGAAGCGGGATAATAGGAAAGATTACAATTCAACTTTGGGATATTCGAAATCTGCATGGCAATTAAGCTATTTGGTATCTTTTTAGTTCAAAGATTTGAGTTCTTTCAAGCAGAGGAGGAAGCAACGGCTCTGCCTGCTCGTCTTTTGTGCCAGACCGGACAAACGGACAGCCACTTCCTCCTCTTCTGGCTATAGGTTAAAGCGTTTGGCTTTTTAACGCATACTGAACAGAAAGGGCATAAAGGAATGAAAGCCTTCCTGTATCCCTCAGGGAACTGTCCTAGTGCCAGAAAATGGCAGGGATTAAAACCCCCTGTGTTTTCAGTCTTTGTCAGCTGGCTACAGCTCCGCGCGGCCGAGGTGCTGTCTCCAGCAGCGCAGGTCGCTGTGGCTCCCAGTCCCAGCGGCTGCCTGGGGCTCCTGCTTCTCGTCCTGGCTTCCTCGGCAGGGATAAGGGCGGAATTTGCTTCAGGTAACATTAGATTTCTAGGCATCTCAGTGAGGTAGTCGCCGAGATTCTCCTCAGAGCACAGTAGGCCCTTCCAGGGAATGGTCTTCACTCTGCAACGCCCCGCAGTGCAAATGGCACCCCAGAGCTACCTCTTTCCCATGCTGATGATGAGGCCTGGTTTTGTCACCCATGTTCTACCTGTCTAAAGACAAACAAGACAAATCCAACCTACCTCCTAAGAAGCAAACACTGTAATTTATTAATGAGGTCTTCTGCAGGATCTAACTGTAAAAATGTGGGTTACATTTGAATCCAGCATTTCTGTCAGGCCATTTCCCTCATCTTTTACTACCTTATCATCGCCTCTCAAAAGCTTCCTTTAACAATAGTAATTGTCCAATTTATCCTTCTTTAATCTACCTCTAAAGTTAACATTACCTAAAGACCCGAGCCGACTTGCCCTGGTGATAAATAGAATAAGCTACTGCTGGGCTGTCATTAAGCTGTTTCTCTGGAGGTGGAGGATATAAAAACATTACCTGCTGCAGTTGGTTACTCAGTAAGCCATTTCGTTTGCTCTGCATGTAGGCATTAGCACTCCCACTCTTTGCTGCACGAATTCGAGCAAGTCTGGCTTTCTGTGTAAATAGACAAAAGGAAGAGTGCCACTTGTACTCGTATCCATTATTCTGTTTATCTAAAACTGCTAATTGGAATCAGCTGCTTATGAATACCGATATCATAACCACTGAGAGGCTGCACTGCATCCGTCCTCCAGGTGGAGCAAATCATAAGTGCCTTCCATTTAAAATGCAAATGACAGAAGTTTTTATTTGTTTGCATGCATCGGCTATTAAGAACAATGATTTTGAAGCGGGTGTTAGACAGATCATCATGTAAATACCTTTTTTTTTTTTAATTTTTTTTTTTTATTGCTGTAACTGTGCCGCTCCTTATGCCTTGTGGGTCAGGAACAGGGGCATCCATCTCAGCTGCTCCTGCAGTGAAAATCTCTTTAAAGGAGAAGAAATGGTTCAGAAAAAACATAATATTGCAACTGCTGTGAGCTGGTTTCTCAGAGCCTTCTGGGTTTTTAGAGTGGCAGAATGTGGTAGTGTTTTTTATGCTGTCTCCCAGCTAAGTTCCTGAATGCTTGCCAGGCCTTAAAAAGCCCTTTTACCTCTTCATGTCTATTGGTGTAATACTTGTCATCATTGGTCATAATCTGTCCACAACCTGGTTTTTCAGAGACTGCAGGCATCAAATTACTGAGAGAGATTTGGGCAGGTGAGCGTCATTGCTTGTGAAGGTGACTTTCATCCCAAAGTAGATGGTGGCTCATAAGTGAAGGACACTTTGCATCCACTGACTTTTGTAAAACAGTTAGAATCCAAGATTAGGGAAAAGCGAGAAGAAAAGACTCTCTCAACCAATAACATGGAAAACAGAAGCTTTCACGGGATTTTAAGGATGGCATCCTGGCTCTGTAATTTTTGTGGCTGGTTACATGTGTAAGTGGGAGTCTGGATTTATCTTCATGCACTGGTTTCTGATTCTGAAAACCAAATGCCGAGCAGCATCTGGAGTTGAATGGCTGCTGAAGCACAGAAGGAAACACAGTGAAGAACTTGAAATACTGACTTTGATATATTAATAGGCAATTTCATATCTGATAATTACTCAGTTGATATTTTCAGAAAATAGAGGGAACATTCCCCCCCCCCCCCCCCTTGCCCCCCCCCCCCCAATTTCTGTGGCATTAAATGTCAGTATGAAATGATTGAGAATCCCTGAACACTTACAGAGGGAAGCAGCCTGGTCACTGCAGCTGCCAGATCTCTCTGGCATGATTAATAATTAACTGACTATGAGGAATGACTCAACACCACGCTTCTTTGCACTCACAGCCTCAAACTTACAGATCTTCTCTACAGTGAGCCAAGAAATTCATGAAAGCTAACTGCGAACATGGCTAGAATCTGGCTTATATTATATGTCATGTGTTTATTATCTTTTAATTGTTCTGAAAGAAAATAAGATAATGCTGTGCATGTGTGCATCACTGAGTCAAAAAGCTCACATGAGAGGCTGTTGCCTGATTTTGTGATATATTGGCCATTTTAGAATAACACATGGGTTTGTCACCTTCCTTGGTGCACACAGCCTTTACAGAGACTGGACTGGGGGTAAATGTCCAGTCAGGGCTCTTTCACTGAGCATCACAGCTGACCAGCCCCAGGCAGCCTGGCATGCTGCAGTGAGCCACCTGAGAGGACAATGTGCTGGGATGGCCTGGGGTCCCCAGGAGCTCACCAGTGGGAGGAATGGTTAACAGCTCCGACCCTCCGGGCTCACACGGGCTCCTTGGTGGCACATCCAGGACCAACGATGTGGCTAGGGCTGAGTCCTGGCAATTAAAAATCCCCTTGGGCAGGTGGAAAATATGTTATTTTCAAGGTAGAGCTCTTGAGATGCAACACCAGCATTACGGGCTGAAGGCTGGGGGAAGAGATTTACTTGCACCGCAGAATAGTCATGGGTTGGGACATGTGCAGTGGGTTATGCTCATAAATATATTAAAGGTCTCTCTTAGCATGACTGTTTAGCCTTAGGAGCTTGAGATGCTTTAGAGATGCCTTTGCAGGGTGCAACATGAAGTCCCATAAATAAGTGATTTCAGTCACAAATGTTTTAGCTGCAGTACTTTTCAGTGTGCTCTTTATACAGGGAGATTCATTAGATTTAATGAACAAACATTTTGCGTACATTAGTTATGCTTTTTCTTTTAGCATGCATATTTATTTTCTCTTTCAGTGATTGAATCAATAATTATGGTGCAGCACCATTTAATAAAGAAATATAAAAAATATAATGGTTCATCAGACTATCTTAATATATCAATGTGCTACAACACATATAATACGAAGGTTGTACTTTCCATGTGAAGATTTCGAATTGCAAATATGAATTTGTTGCGTCCTAGAAAACTTTTGTGAGGTGGAAAGTAATAGCTTACATCTTTCTAGCTGAGATTCATTCAGATGGCCTGAATTTACATCATTTACCAAAGAGAACACAATAAATCTATTACCAAGACAGGAACCAGATATTGTGGCTTCCATGCTTATACTTCAGCTTACAGAAAATACTACTGAAAATGGAAGTGTTTACAAATCTGTTGAAGTGATAAGTTTTCTTTTCAGTGCTTCTGCCTATTTTATATCAGAGCCTGTAGTGTGAGTAGTCTAGTGACTCCTCACAATTCCTGTCAAGGAATCATTAAAAGCTCATGTCACCCACAGGATTTTAAGGGCTGTGCGCTGGGAATTGAATTCCCATGAAGGACATCAAAACGATGTGATGACATCAGGAAAACTGTGATTACAGAAGAACCGTATTTTTCATTAGTCTGTGAACTGCATTCTCTGTCACATACAACTGAAAGGGAGTGATAACTGCCCCTTTCAACCATTGCAAAGCCCTTCCTAACTCTCCCTTTTCATGGAATAGCTAGCAAAAAAAGAAAGGATTAAGTTCTCCTGCAGTAGATTATCTTACTAGTTGTAAGCTTTTCCCTGTTAGCCATTGAATGTGAAACTTTGATTTTGGTAATTTTCATGCGGTCTAGGACAAAACCAATGTAGCTGAAATACAGTTCTTTTACTTATTCTGATGAAGTTCCACCATAATCATCTCATCTGAAACTTCCTGAAGACATTGACGATCAGCTCTAATTCTTACCGCAGCCCTTGTATTTGCACTGAACTTCTCTTTTGAATGCATCGCTTTTTTTTTTTCCTAGCTTCAAATTTTACAATTTAGAGGTGGATCCTTGTCTATGGCTGTACTTACATAAACCTTACAAAGGGAATTCACTGTTATTCAACAACAGCTAGCTCTGTCAGGTTTAGAAATAGAAGCATTTATTTTCACAAGGTTTTAAGTAGTGCTAAGTGTAGCACTGTGGGGTATTTACAACATCCAGCTTTTAACACTCAACATGCCCTCAGCTGTCCAGCTGTGTTAAGAGAGAGATTTTATCAGGAACACTTTAGGGCAGGGCTTATTGCGGTACTGGGAATCATTTTTGGCAAGAGCCAAATGAAGAGCCTCTCTTCAATTTGCTATGTAAGAAGCCTAGGTAGCCTAGGTAATTTAGTAATTAGATAGCTCCTTTTGTCTCTCTTCTGCTGCTCTCCAGACTACATAACTATCTTACTATCAAAACTCAAAAACTGCTAATTACTTACCTTGTATTTATTATTCTTTAATGATCTTGTACAATTAAAAGATAAGAATTCCTTCACAGTCATTCTGTGTATACTGGTTTTGGCTGGTACAGAGTAAAATTTCTTTATAGTAGCTGCTATGTTTTGAATTCACTGTGCTGAAAACAGTGTTGATGATAACCCGGGGATGTTTTAGCTACTGCTGAGCAGTGCTGACACAGAGCCAAGGCCTCTTCTGCTTCTCACCCCACCCCACCAGCGAGGAGGCTGGGGGTGCACAAGGAGTTGGGAAGGGACACAGCCGGGACAGCTGACCACAGCTGACCCAAGGGATATTCCATACCATATGACGTCATGCTCATGGGGGTGGATGTTGGTGGGGGCTGCTGTTACGCAGGGAGTGGCTGGGCATCCGTTGGTTGGTGGCAAGCAACTGTTTTCTTTTACATCACTTGTTTTTCTTGGTTTTGATCCCCCCCCTTGTTGTGTTGTTGTGTCCCCCCCTCCCCCTTAAAAAATTATTAAACTGTCTTTATCTCAAGCCACAAGTTTTTGCACTTTTACTTGTGATTCTCTCCCCCATCCCACTGGGGGAGAGTGAGTGCGTGGCTGTGTGGTGCTTAGCTGCTTACTGAGGTTAAACCACAACACTGTGGCTCCTGGAGCAATGACCAAAATCATCCAAAATTCAGTCACAGAATCACAGAATCACAGAATGTTAGGAGTTGGAAGGGACCTCTGGAGATCATCTAGTCCAACCCCCCTGCTAGAGCAGGATCACCTACAGCAGGTTGTACAGGATTGTGTCCAGGTGGGTTTCAAATATCTCCAGAGGAGACTCCACAACCTCTCTGGGCAGCCTGTGCCAGTGCTCTGTCACCCTCAGAGTGAAGAAGTTTTTCCTCATTTTCAGGTGGAACTTCCTGTGTTCCAGTTTGTGCCTGTTGCCCCTTGTCTTGTTGCTGGGCACCGCTGAAAAGACCCTGGCCCCATCTTCTTGACACTTGCCCTTTAGATATTCCTAAGTGTTGATCAGATCCCATCTTGGTCTTCTCTAGGCTAAACAGACCCAGCTCTCTTAGCCTTTCCTCATAAGAGAGATGCTTCACATTGTTATTTACATCAGTTTTTGTTTGGCCTTTCATAAATACATCCTACATGTTTGCTTTCAAGTGAAAAATCAAGCTCACATTTCATGCTCTGATTTTCTAATTTTCAGTAATTGCAAATAATTGACTTCAGATTAGCTGACAATAATTTATGGGACATCAGCATGCAGTAGAGAAGAAAATGCTGTTTACTTTGTACATTGGTGGATATGGAATTAAATAACATTCATATATTTGTTGAGTTGTCCTTGCTTTCACAATCTATTCAAATTATTCTCAATAAACACAAGTTTTACATACTTTAGTGCTAAATTCCAAAATCTTGGGTAAGTTATTCTCTTAGTTATGCCTCTGCAGCTCCACTGAGAACAATAGCCTATCAACTCGTTTAAAGAAGTCATAATGGCTAGTAGGGTTCCTTACTGCAAACGCTCAGCTCTAGACTGCCAGGTGCTGTTAAGCAGTTGTTGTTGCAATTTATCCTAGAGCTATTTATACTTATCTAGTAAGTAATTATTCATAACTCGACAGATAAATACATCATGTACAATCAATAAATAATAAAGCCAAGCCAATCTTCAGGATATATTTTGCTATGCAAAGGTAGAAGACCATACTTACATGAAAGATTCAGGTTGAATTTTATATATTGTTAGGTTTTGGAGCTGATAGTTGTTTGGGTGTTCTGTTGAGGCATCATGCAAAGTCACTCTAGGGAGAATGTGCTTGGGCAACTAAAATTAAGGCTCCTTCAGTTATCACATAATGAACAACAACGGGCAGATGGACTCACACTTAGGACTTGATGGCCTAGAGGATACAAGGCTCTTGCCTTCAAAAGATGCAGAAAAAATAGATGTATGGAAAACAGGGAAGGCAAGGAATGCTTCATTTGGGGTGAGGACAACCTTGTCATCATAAGAACTACTGCAGTATGTTGGGGTGGAGCAGACACCTGTTCAAAGAACGTAGCTATGCCTCCTCCTTTCCCTTCCCTGTGAATATGGCACTGTGAGGGTTTAGCCATATCTTAATCTTGGATACTTATCAAATATGGAATAGGAAATTGTATGCACGATGACCTAAATCTTTCTTTTTCCTTTGCTGTTCTTTCCTTTCCTTTATATATGGACCAGTCACAACACATCTACCATTAACATTGCCACCTGAAAGTACTGATGGGCAACCAAAATAACTTGAATTCTTGAAGTTGTCTCTATCGAAGAAAAACTCCACAAATAAATAGGATTCTTCAAAATTGTCTCAGTTGTGATAAATCTGCTTGAGGAAAAGGCATACTAAGACTACAGGGCATAATTAGTTCTGCTGTGAATGCTAATATCTATCTATCTATCTATCTATTTATTGTCAGGATAAGTTAGATCCTTGGACCTTATTATCTGATACAAGAAAATGTTCTGATTTTTATTTTTTTTTTTATATTGAGGTCTCTTTTACAACAATGTATTTCCATGGTTGGAAGCAGGAGCTTCCATTAAAATGCATTCAAATATAAATAAATTTCTCTCTCTTTCATATTTTCCTGATCATTAATGTGCAGCATCTTTTTGCCAAAAAGAAACAAATGGGATTGTCTAATCTTGAATGACTGTGCAGAACTCAGTAAATGCACATATGGATGGTCACATGGCTCTTGAACAAACCTAATATAAGTGATAAATTTTTTTCTGCTGAAAATTGCCAGTGCTCTTGGGACTAGATTTCAGCTCTTCACCGGAGAACTTTGCTTTGAGTTTCCTTACAGCCCAAATGTTTTGCCATTTCTGAAGACTACCTTGATTAAACTTCCGTATGAGATATTGATAAAGTTGCACAATTCAGATATCCGACTCTCTGATTCAGATGGAAGCTGCTGTAGCCAGCAAGAGGTACCATCGCCTGCAGGGATTCATGCTGTGCTCCATGAAACAGCACCTTTTTCCAAGCTTATGTTCTTCAGCCTTAGAGAATAGAAATAAGGTTGGTGCCTAGGGAAACATTTATTTTAGAAAACTGTGTAAAGCTTCTATTGTATTGAATGAAGAAGGAATTTCAAGCTTCAATAATGTGACCTTTCTGCTTGAATATTCTTATACAATGCAGTAGAACCCTCCTGTGGAATGCAAGGCTGTACTTCATAGCTAAATATTGCTAAATATGGATTATACAGTACCCAAGAAGTGCTGTTTGTTGATTTTTTTTTCCGGTCCATCAGAGCAGTATTCAGTTCAACGTCTCAGTCATTTCAGATTGACAGAGATTAGCTTTGCAATAGGAGATATCAATGAAACACACATCCAGTGCTAAGTTAATTTCTCAAAGCCATTTTCTCCAAAGCAAGAAGGGCATAAACATGGTCAGAGGAAATCTCTCATCCTTACTGTTGGCATTGTTCTGGGAGCACAGGAAAAGATACTTGGCAGGATTGCCATTCATCACTTCATATTCCTGTTTGAAACATACAATGAGCTCATTGTTTTGCAAGGAGAAAAAGTCAGTTATTAACTCAAGCAGTTTTTATTCAGGAAGAGATTATGGGGAATATCAGCCAGTCTGACAATCTAATTTTTGCAAGGTATTTTCTAGTGTCCGTCTCTTTTTTTCACTGGCAAGTGTAAAGCAGGCATAGAAAATTCTGTTTCATGACACGCAGTAGGAGACAGTTTCTATCTGAAGGAAGGCTGGTCGTGTCTGCTGTTATTATGAAAGCACAGAACAGGCTCATTGATTGCTGGGATCAAGCAGATCTGTTACCCATGACTGGCAGAGTGCTTGGAGGCACAGTAATGAAGCACTGTGTTCTGGCTGATACATACTGTTCTTTCTCTTTGTGCTGCCATTACACAAACAAAAGTGTAAAAGCTCTTGACAAAAAAAAGAGTAGTCTAGAAGGGACGTGTTCTCTGCGTGTTCCAGCTGTGGAAGAGGGGAACGCACAGCTGGAAGTAGCACGTGGGGCAAAATGGCATACAAAAGGGTGGGTGGAATTAGTAGATAGGTAAGGTATGGTATTTGGATCACTGAAGCAGCCTATATTTAAAATTGGGTTTCTAGAAAAGTGTGACATTTCTGTGATATGCCTGGTTTCTTTTATGGCCATTTTCCTCATCTGACATCATTATTCCAAGATGTGACCATTAAAGGGTGCAATATCTTCAGCCTGGGCCTATGACTGACTTTCTTGGCCATGTACCTCTGTTTCTCCTGATTTTAAGATATTCTGGGAATGGTATCACTGTGTACATTTACTTCACTTCCTTTTTATTAAGAAATCGGTCAAAAAAGGTGGCCAGAAAGAAAAACACATTTTCTATATTTAAACATGGTGCTGTTGTCTGTATGAGGCAGAATCAGCCTGTAGCTGCCCGTGTTCCCTGGTCTATGTATGTAATCCCCAGCCATGGCCTGCCTGCACATCCTGCTCTCCCTGAATCACTGGAGACTCAGGACCTCTGAAGAGGGGCCATGGGACCACAAAAAGCCCAAGTGGTGACACCTCAGCCTTGGCAATCTTGCAACCTGTGTTGCATCCAGAACCTTCTGACTGCTCTCAGCAGAGGAGCAGAAGGTAATGCATCTCGGTTCCTGTATCAGGGCTTCAGGTGCCAATGGAGGCTGTCTGAGCTGCTTAGCGTTGCACAGTTGGGTAAAGTGGATTGGGACCAGTACATTGGCAGTGATGTGGAAATGGAGGTGACTGCCCAGGCTTGGCTGCATCTCTCCTGGTAAATAGTTCTTCCTAACTCCTGACCTTGCCCATATGGGTCGGGGAAGGAAACTGTCTTGTTGTAGAGCTAGTTGATATTTTAGTGAGAGACTCAGCAAATGAAGGAAGCTGGAAAAACAGACTTTTGCTTTTGGCTTTTCTTGAGCAAGTTCTTTTTCTGAGGTCTTCTAAGCAAACTAGAGCTGATGAGACAAGTTCCCCAATAATCAGATTCCCCAGAGACTGAACCTGAGAATTAAACACATGGATTAGTGAAGCAGGCTGTTAGGATAGACATTAGAAACCATTATTAGGTTTTGTTGTTTTGGGTTTTTTTGGTTGGTTGTTTTTTTCCTCAGAAGACCCTGGTGGAAAGTAATTCTGCCTGAAAAACACAGAAAAATCTTCATTGGGCGGGACTGCAGCTATTGTCTGAAAATACTAGATCTAGTCTAATAAGTAGGATGAATTACTACAATAATAGATCTGTAAATTTTGAGAGAGAAGATAAATCAACTTCTTTTTTTTTCCTTCACTAAAAATAACACAGTATTTGCATCTGGGACAAGGGCTAGCTATGTAGCACATACATATAGTAGTTTTCTTGCTAAGAAACCAAACTCATTTTGAGGATGCACAGCATATCACAAGTCATATTTTATCTATTGCGCAACAACAAAAAGGGGAAAAATTAGGACCTCACCTTTTGTGCCCTGCGCTTGTCTGCTCGTTGATTCTGGTGGTAGATACGGCTGAAGTTGGAGACAATTACAGGAACTGGCAGAGCAATGACTAAGACCCCACTCAGGGAGCATATTGAACCAAAAATCTTGCCAGCTATTGTCTTCGGCACCATGTCACCATACCTGGGTTAAAGAAAACAAAATGTTTAGTAAAGACAAAATCTCCTTTAAGTATTGAACTGCACCATAGATTTTCCTTCTCTTGCAAATAATAATCACTGCATATAAATAATACTTTATACACAGATGCATACATGTACTGCTTGCTCAGTGTTGTGCACACATAATTTTAATTTCAAGCTAATGTTGGGTATCCTGTCCATCAAACTGTAGGCATCGATGTTTTACCTGCTCTAGTCTTCCCAGGTTGCCTCTGTTGCAATGGAAAGAGGGTGACCTTGCTAAGGAATAAAAATCAGTGTCGTAATTAAGTCCTTACCCTGTTTGCTTGTTGGAAGAGCTCAACACTTTCCATTGGCAAGATCCTAGGGAGACCAGCTGGCAAGTTAGATGCCAAGCTGGATAACCTGTTGTGTCCCTAAGTTGATATAGTACCAAAGGAGGGTAGCGCAGTTTTGGAACAGGTTGCCCAGGAGATTGTGGACTTTCTATCTTTGGAGATTTTCAACACTTGGCTAGACAAAAGTATGGCTGACCTAAGCTATTGTTGTTGGTAGGCTGCCTTTGAGTGGGAGGCTGGACTAGCTGACCTCCAGAGATCCCTTCTATGGTCTAGCCAAAAGCAAACATGAAAACCTTGAGCCACAAGCAAGCGACGAAACAAATTCTAACTGCAAATCCTGGCAGTGCTCAGAATTACTAGGGCTACCACCTTTTTTTATGATGTTGGATATTCTTTTGTCCAGCAAGTAAGAACATAGTGCTGCTGAAGTATGTAGAGTCACTACAGTGACAGCTTATTAAAAGATACCAGCTCCTTACACTCTGCAGAGTGTCATATTCTGTAGACAAGTATGTAATTAGACACTACAGAGTTTAATAAAGAGATAAATTACCTTCTAGTACCATTCTGTTTTTAACTTTACTGGATTTTAAGTTATTATTAAACATTGATTGTGGCATGTGGGTTTAGTATGCTTGTGAGCAGAGAAATAGCACATTCCCTATTGCAAAGAATTTATAAACTGTTAACACAAGAAAAGGTAAGAAATAAAACTGCAGGAGGGGCAGTGTTTGGAAAATGCTACCTGGAAAACAAAACCTGTCCGTTCAGCA